TTATAAAGCGCCACTCCAATAGGTATATTACTTGCAATCGTGAGAAACCTCATGTACAAAACTTATTAACCCGGGTGTAGGTGCAAGCTCCGCATTTTCTTGTATCCGACCTTTTAGAACAGAAACAGGCAGCAAGTCAATTTGAGATGCTCACCTCCATGCAAGATGGCTCAACACTCCAATAACGAAATTGAAAGCCTCCAAGAGTCCGAACACTCGATCTCCGGTTAGTACCGGTCCTCCTCTTCAGAGGGGGCTCCTGAGGCTGCAGCCTCCGGCTCCCCCCCTGGAGCGACCCCGAAGCTCGCACCGGCTCCGCATCGGCTCGCACCGGCTCGCCGTCTTCTCCGGGGGCAAATTAGGGTCTTGACTCTTAAAGTGGTAATTTGATTTCGTGAAATCGCCGGACGCTGAATTGAGCGGCGGAACTTGTCGGCCAAATTTGGGTGGAGGTCGCAAGCGTCAGAGTGCCGAGTTTCGAGCCGGCAGTCCGCGCAGCGACCGGAAATGCGCAACTTCACCGAACGATTCGCCATCGGGTGACGTAGACTTGACGTCAGTGGAACTACCCCTTTAAACCCTGGCAATGTGTTTTAAGATCAAACATTGTTTATTTCAGATGCGGTCATAATCTGGACATATTCACCAAAGATTTTTGAAAAAAGCTCGTTGACAGCTTTCCAAAAACATATTTGGTTTTAAAATGTGCCCCCCCAAGAGAGAGAGGGAGATTATAAACATGGATAAACATGTTTAAAACAAAAAAACATGTGTGTACGTATGATAGGGCACAGCCACATGTATTTGAAGCCAATAAAAGAAAAAACAAAACATGTGTATAATTAAATAAACGTGTTTAAAACAGGGTTACCTAACTAGGACGACACAATCCGCCTGCGGCGGATTTAGCAGCTCGCCTCAATATAGACAGATGCATATTATTTAAGAAAATGTCTTCAATGAGGGGGGGTGGGAGGGCGCCCCGACTCACATTCATGGGCGGGTGGGAGGGCATTATTGATTCCCGTGCGGGCCCCGGTACACTTTGTCTTGTTACGGGAAATGAAGGTCTAAAACTTAGTAAAAGGGTTCCCTGTCACATCTTATGGTATTTTTGTGATTGGCTGGGTGGGAGGGCGCCCCGGTTTGGAAATATAATGGCTTTTTGATATCGGTGCTGACCGGGACAAGACCCCAGGCATCATATTGCAATGCACTGCTAAACACGGCCAAGACCGGGCCAAACAGAAACTGTTGTACAGCTTGGCAAACCCCGAAAGTGACGGGAAAAACGGGTTATTTTTTATTGTTTGGTGGATGTAGGGGACTTTCAGTGGCCCAAAAACACTGAGTGGTTTTCAATGTTCGGTTGGTCCATTCCCGCTTAAACCGGAAAACCACGGCGGCCGACGTTGCTGTATGTCGAGGGAAATACTTCCCGTAAAATTCCACCGTACAATCTTGGCTTTTGTACAGCATAATGCAATCGGCCTAGAACTTTGACCAAATACGTAGTACAACGTCACCGCTGTTTTAGACTCTGGGTGCCGGGACGTCGTACAGTGAAATTATTTGCCGGAGAGACCCCACATCCGGATGTCCGCTTTACCTCGCCCCATATAAATATGGGCGAGCAAAAAACATTGGACCCTGATGGTCACTTCATATT